GATTTCTAGGACAATAATAATAATTAGAACTTTTCCTATAAAAAGCAATGCATGTAATAATATTGGGAAATGCTGCAGTCCTTGCGGGAATGGTTCCCTCAGTTCAATGAAAATTATTAGAACTTTTAATTTTGGTATGAACCATTTGATGTAATTAAGCAAAGTGATGTGACAGTTTCTTACTAGAGGTTTAAATGAGGGAACCATTCCCTACGGGACTATAGTATTTTTCAACAATATTAATCTGTCATAAGTAAAAAAAAAATTATTTATGGGAGCATTCACTTCACTACATAAATAAATTTACCAAATAACAAGTTCCACAGCCATGGCCCGAGTTGTAAAGACTAGGAGCGATTGCTGTTACTATCGAAGAAAATGGCGCGGAACTAACTGTGGTTGTATATCCACACGAACCACCTTCATCACCGCATGCAAAGAAAAAAAAACAAAATAATTATTACGATCGAATCGAGGTAATTTTGTAAATGAAAGCACACTTCAACTGTCATCAATCTTACCATCACTTCCAAAGCCATTGGGAGCTCCATACCAAGTGGCTTGGGTAGTAGCCCAACCCGAGGCTGATCCCGAACCCGGGCCATAAGATTTCGATACGTTTAACAGCTTAGGGTTGAAGCCATGGCAAAAGTTTGAGAATGCAAGAGGAAGGAGAACCAAATAAGTGAAAAGTGTGTAGTAGGCCATGAGCAACAAGATAGAGAATAAAGAAGAGAAAGATATAAGTTGTTATTTATTACAAGTGAATGATAGATAGATATCGATTGGAGGACGTGCAATACGCTATTTATAGATCAGTGAGCAAAATTTCTCTTCTAGAAAATTTTGTCTCGAGTGACGTGTATTCATGTATGGAAAACCGCAATTGAAACAGCCGTTAATGTTGGTTATTGGTCGTTAACTGATCACATGAGAAGTCGTTGCAGTTTGAAATAAATCTTGCAAATTAACTTCCCATGTACTCGTGGCAACATGAGGCCTTGATTTGGGGGACTCCTTTTTCAACGATAACATTTTTATACTTTTTTTAATATTATGGATATGATCGTATATAATTAATATAAGTGACATTATAGAATTTGTTTTGAAATATTAAGTAAGATAGTTATAGATAAGTGACATAGAATTTTGAAAAGATAACTAATAAGATGAAAACTGATTTGTACCCTTTTTTTTATTATTTATTTTGTATTCATTTCAATTTTTTGTTATTAATTTTTTTTGTTTAAAGAAGAAACACCCCGGAAGGGTAGGGGGTAAGGCCGAACCCCAATCTGTATATAGTCAGGACCCTAATTGGACTGAAAAATCACAACATGTCCAAAATAGCAAACAAAAATAACAACAAAAACAAAAAATGAAAGAACAACAACCAAAACGAAAAAAATCTGAGCCTGGGTCGAGTGGAGCTCAGGCGAGTAGTCTACACCACGAATGGGCAAAGGACACACAAAAAAATACAAAACGACTACCCAAATCTGAACGATGGGCAGCCCATCTGATCCATCCGCACAAGAGTACAGAGTCAGTGAGGAGTGTCGTTTGGATGAAAAATGGGCCTTTGGGGAGTGGAGGCACCTATGCAAGGGAGAAAGTGATGGAGATGAGACCGCCTTGGCCTTTCTCAACAAGTTTGATCGTCTCAAGATTTAGTTCGTAATTTTATTATTTGATTTTTATTATGCATATCTATTCCTTTCTTTTATTATTCTAGTTTTCTTATTATTTTAGGAAACAAATAAATTTCCTTGCAACATGTTTAGCAAGGTTAGGGTTTCATTTTATTATTTAAAGAGTGAGAAGTCAAGGTTGTTGACAGTTTTTGGACAATTAAAAAAATTATCTGATTTGAGAGAGTATCTCAACTGTTCTTCGTGAGAGAGTATCTCACTTATTTTCCCATTCGTACCACGTTCTACATCAAGAAGTCAGTAAGTCAGTTCCTCTCGCGAAAGATATGCGAGATTTGGTAGCGTCCAACTCTATCTAAATGTGAGAGGAGATAGTGGATGCAACTCGAGGAGGCCTGAAGAGGGGCGTAAAAGGAGGTAATAAGAGCTCCGTTGTGATCCCTAATCAGGCCCCCACCTCCGGCGGCTCCTTAAAGTCAGTCGAAAGATCTGTCAGTGTTAGCTTAACCCAAGGGTACTCGGGTCTCAGCCAAACAACGGCTTTGGGGCGTGAGTGTTGAGCAGGCGACAGCGGAGATGGTATTAAGCAATGTGGCGGCGTGCAACCTGTCAAGTCTCTAGATGTGAGTTTGCTCAGAGCTATGAGGAGAGAGAGAGATAGAGATAGAGAGAGAGAGAGAGAGAGAGAGAGAGAGAGAGAGAGAGAGATGTCGATCAACCTACAGAACAATGTGAGAGCACATAAAAGTAACATTTGTACGCTTTCGCACTATTCCTTTTGTCTAGATGGACCACATAATCAGACTTGGAATGTGGAAGTCCACGTGTCTAAAGATTGTGCGCTGTGAGCAAAAACTAAGGAGATCAATAAAATTGTATAGTGGGATAAAGTATAGGAGTATATGTGGCGAAATGCTCTCACACTTTCCTCGCAACCCTGCTCTCCAAAAACAAATGGTCAAAAGTCTCAGTCTGAAATGTCGAGTCTCGACACAACAGTAACACCGCGAAGGGAAGAAAAATCCCCTCTTCTACATCACAATGCCAATCAGAATTTGGCGCAGAATGAAGCGCCGAAGGAAAATAGAGATGGTTAGGGTAAGCAGATCGGTCCAAATGGCCTCGAAGAGAAGGTTAGGCCAGTTACCCAGCCGAAATGCACCTGAAGATGTAAGTCTTCACCTCATACCGTCTGAATCGTCCTCTTAGATGGGAATCTGCTGGATCTGATCTAAACATGGTCACTAAAACCCGTACTAGTATCCAACACTCTCTCTAATCTATCCCTTTCCCAAGCCCCCTAAGACCATTAGGTCCTTCACCCGCAGGGAAGGAGAGTGAGTGACCTGCTTAGAGCTCGAAAAAAGCCACTCACAAAACAACCATTCATACCAAAATCTAACATCCACGTCATCCAACGTCTAGAAGAAGTGCTCCTACGCGCGCCTACATAT